GCAATCAGTGGAACGATTTACTTTATAAGTCACATCTGTTTTTTTGTGACATTACTTTCCATTTCGGAGAAAAAGTTGTTTGGAAGGAATTCTTGATGTGGTCTCACCGGAAACCGAAGGAGGATTGCCGCGTAGTGAAGGCTGATGTATTGTGCCAAATCCACGGCTCATCGTCCTGCGACCCTAATGAAATGTTCTAGGTTTTAATCTGTTCTGTGACAGACATCTTCACAGTAAGACTCAATACTTTACGAAATAGAGCAAAAATATACTAAACCAAGCGAAAAGGTGGCCGGTTGCAGTCCTAGTCGCCTTTTTTATTCACTAGGGTTGTAGCTGGCCATTTTTTCTTTTGGTTTAGTCTATTCTTGCTATATTTCGTAAAGTATGGATTCTTGCTCTGATCCTGTCTCACAGCACAGGCGAAAACCCAGAACATTTCATGGGGTCGCAGGACGGTGAGCCGTGGTCTTCTTCGCACAATACGACAGTCTTCTCTACGCGACAATCCTTCTTCAGTTTCCAGTGAGACCTGATCACGAATTCCCTCCAACTAACTTTCCCTTCGAAATGGAGAGTTATGTCACAATAGATCACTAAGGGATTCTTCGAATGTCAGTTTTCCTTCACATCTGTTTCATGAGTGACCCACTGACATTCGTTTACATAGTTGGACGTTTTTATGCCTTATTCCCTCAAATACACATAGCATCGTAATGTAGCATACATGCTACTTAGGTCTGAGCCATATTCTAGCCATTTCGCCGGCCTTAACCAGTGTGCCAACCCGTAATCGGCAAAATGGGTGAAGTGAATGCCATTGGCAACTTCCTCTACACCAGATATAATAAGTGATATAAAAAAGTGAAGTTTTGCCCACCTGTATAATGGTTTCCCTGTTCTGTATTTAAAGTAGCCTTCGCTTTCTTCCAGGTAAAACTCGAAATAGTCGTTGAACTGAGACCGAACCTCATCCTACAAGACAGCAGCACTAAAAGAGACCGCTAGTTACCATAGCCGTATTCGACGGGATAAACGCAAGGGCCGAATAAGTCTTGCAGTTCATTTCATAACCGGTGAGATTCTGTGCTAGAATAATGTAGCATTTGGTTTTGCAAAACATCGATTTGATTCCGGTCTTAGTGAAGGCAGACGTCTTCTTGTTCGCCAATTTCAGCTCATGAAGCAGCTGGACAACCCCATTTGAACATGACAAGACGTTCGCTTGCTGCGAAGCCACGAGAAGTGGCAGTAGCGCCAGGCAGAACACGAGTACCTTCATGCCGAAAGACATTCGAGACGGCAATATCGTCCTGATGCGGCCTGGACTAGCAGAAATCGGTTCGATAAGTCGGCAGTTATTTGAATCGGTCAAAGTTTCGGCTTGATCGATATTTCAACGAGTCGTATTGCCCGTCAAAGGCTGATCGGCTGGACAAGTCCCTTGGTTGCAGAGTTCAAGTCTGCGAGGCAAGAAATGCTGTATGCATCTCACATTCCCAAACTGGACTAACGTTATTAGGGGGACCTTCATTTCGAATGAAAGTGCATAAAGAAGAGATTCGTGTGTCGATTTCACCAGATGAGGACGGGTGAAAATCGTTGTACTACAGCCGTTCGGCTTTTATATGATATTCGTGTTGACGCAGTCCACGAGTCTTCCTCCCTCGTTTCGGGTGAAAACGTGCTGAGCTTTCGTCCATCATTC